TTTTGCTTAATCCCATCTTGCTACATGACATTAGAACTTGCATTATGATTGATTCCATCTTGCTTTATGATATTTAAACGATGTATTATTCTCGATTCCATTTTTCATTATTTCATTCAAACATTACGTAGTGACCAATGCTTTCATTGAGTGATAACTATTAAACTGGAACGAGCCATTTGGAATACTAAAATGTTAACGTCATATACCGTTATGTATAAGCTACCTTTCTTCATGCTCTATACAAAATATTTACGGTTTAGTTTTTCTTGTATTACTTTTATGTAGAAGTCATTTAAAATTGACTATTTTTTGTTCCCTGATGGATTTTGTTAAAATGTGACTTAATTGATTTACAGCTCGCATGGCGTGATTACTATTAGCTTTCGCTTATATCCATTATTCAGTGTTTATGCTTAATAAAGCTCGGTGTCTTAGGCTTTGTGGATTATGTTTGATCATCTTACATTATGATAAACAATTTAAACAATGTCTAGCGAATTGTGAACTGTTAAGGGGCGAGAACTCTGTTATCGATATCAACGGATTTTTTCCATGATTCGCCTATCATCGGAATTTTCCGTACATGTATATATTACGGAATACCGTTAGGGCCATCGTGGTTATAGGGCGACAATGATATAAATACGTACCAAGCGCTTAATACATAAATTGCAGTGGAAAGAATATAAATACAAGTAGTAAGGATTATGCAATATAATTTTATACATGTATATGTATACAGTCTAATAGAAAAAATATGCTCGTAAACAGTTATTCAATGGGGCAGTTATACGTACAGTGACGGATTAAGGCCTTGGCTTAAAGGCTGCACCTACCCCAAAAGATACGTTGATGAGCTGGGATGGAATATATACGTGTAAGTTTCATGCAATAGTGGTCTTAGTGTATTCCCTTATCAAAACATATAATGCTGTCATCCACTTGTTAAGCACCTGCCCAGGTATTGCCATTGCGAAAGTTTTTATCTTATGACTTGGACATTAAAAGCAAAAGTTATTAACTGGCCTTTTAACTTAATAAATGTCTCAGAGTCACTAATATTGGCGAATAGGTATGTAACACATTAAAACATACATGTATAATAAGGAAAGAAGGAAGTTGTTTATTTTTGTGACATGTGCATAGTCAATTATAAATGTTGGGCATATGTGTGTCTGATTATAGATCAGACATCCCGCACACACCACCACAATCACATACATTTGTGCTAAAAGATATACTATACACATCTTTCAGTAATATATTTTTATCACAGAAATTTATTGAGGTCTATAAAATTCTTACTAAATATGTTTTATTTAAATAAAAACACATACTCATCATGTATAGGAATCTGCTTTCCTTATTACGGGTCAAGTAAAGTTGTGCCTGTCTTTAAAAGAATCTTCCATATATATTTTTGTAATAACACTATACATGAATATTCATACTGCCCACTTACAGTGTAAAGGATTTAAAGCACAATGTTTGTGTGAAGCCAAATTATATTTATTTTATTTTACAAAAAAAAATCAAGTTTGTGCTGTAATAAGTCGTGGCCACGAGTTACTAAGTGACATGTGTGTGTGTGTTTATTTATCTCGTGCGCACGAGATACTGTGTCGTGGCCACGAGTTACTAAGTCGTGGCCATGAGATAGTTAAGTCAAGGGAACGATATACTATATCGTAGCCACGAAATACTATGTAACGGCCACGAGTTACTAAGTCGTTTAAGTCGTGGGAACGAGATAACTAAGTCGTGCAGACGAGATAATTAAATAAGATTACACCATGATTTTTTAAACTTAGAAAATTTCTGTTTAAAGATTTACGTGCAACATTAATCTTTGAAAATACTGAAGTGTTCACTTTGAACTTAATACATGTCTTTAGGATCATAAGGCCCATAAATCAGACATTAATTTTGACTAAGTTATAGCCCTTTGTTGGGACAATTCTATGATAGAATTGGTCATTTTGTACGTACAAAGGCCTGTTAACATTGTTCATACCATAACTTGAGAGGGACTTAGTCCTGGTTTATTTTATTGGGAAGGGACATTGCCCATGGACAGTAGATATCCTATAAGGATGTTTGAGGTCACAGGTAAGATAAACATGACACTTCATGTAAAATCCTTGCCTGATGAATGATTTAGAAAGAATTAGCCGTAGTTTATATAACCTAAAAATATAAGTAGATGACACCTAATAATTTTTAGGCAATTTGGTCAGAAATCAGGGTCACAATGACGCTAAATCTTTGACCAATCATTAACTTGTATAGATGGCACTTTTACGGGCAAGTGAAGTAGGGGCATCCTTGTTAGGAAAATTAATATAAAAAGTGTAATTTGATTGGTTATTTATCTCGTTCGCACGAATTAACTTTCTCGTGGCCACGACTAAACTTTCTCGTGGCCACGACATAGTAACTTGTTCCAACGACTTATTTATCTCGTGGCCACGACTTAGTAACTCGTGGCCACGACTTAGTTATCTCGTTCAAACGACTTAATTATCTCGTTGCCACGACTTAGTAACTCGTGGCCACAACATAGTATCTCGTTCCCACGACTAAATTATCTCGTGGCCACGACTTAGTAACCCGTGGCCACGACACAGTATCTCGTGCGCACGAGATAAATAAAAATACACACATGTCACCTTTGTGCCACCTTAAGTTTGATAAAATTCAATTTCACTTATCACACACGCTCAAAAAGAAGTAAAAACAATTGTATAAGAGGTGAGTTGCCACTTGTAGGATGAGTTATTAGAGACATATATAACTTTTTTTCCACATGCTGGCGGAATCTTCAAAAACACGCACTTTTCGTCTGTCGCATCGTGTTCTCTTGCTTTTCAGTAAATTTGCATGTCACTGTTCTGTATACGCCCCTATATAAAGTGGACGTAACTTTGTTTACTCCACGTGCCAAAATACGGGATCATCCGGAAAATAACGGGATGTACCGACAAAGCGACACCTGCTGTCATAATATGAACACAAATTATTGCAACTCGCATTATGCTTACTGCCAACTGCTTAGTGCGTACTGTCACATGCGACTATAATATCGCTATCGTTGTCATCTTTGTTGTCGATGCGCAGTGATCATATATTGCATTATATTTGTAATCAGTGAATATATTGAAGCATATAAATGCTAAGACACATCAAATTCGCCAATTATTGATCAAAATGAATAGTTTATTTTGACATAATGTCGACAATATCAGTGGCAGATTTATAGCAAATTAAAGATACACCTACCATGTTACATATAGTTATAAAGAATGTTATCTTAAACACCAAACATAATACGTTGTCCTTAAGAAAGGATGCAATTAAACACATAGCATATTAAAATATGTGAGTTTGATGGTTTAGAAGGGAACACACAAGGTTGCAATTACATGAAAGTGCGTTCAGTAATCACAAGGCATGATTGAATTCAGCAAAACGCAGGTTTTCATTGTCATAAAGAAGTATAGAAGCAAACATAATGTAAGTTCCGATATCATAAAGCAAGATGGAATAAATGCATTAATTCTGTTCCATAAGAGCATGCCCATTGATTGGTTCATTTTGTCCGGGGTTTACATATTGTGACGACAGAGAAAGGGATAGCGATGGAAATATCATATTCAGTTGCTCGTTCATTGGTTACCTTTTTGTGGGGTTTCACATTGTGGTATCAGGGAACGTGTTTTTATGTTTGACTATGATACAAAAGAGAAAGAACATCAAAACACTTGGCAATCTGATTTATACTCGGGGGCTACGCCCCCTCGTACAAATCTGATAGCTGCTCTTTCTATTACATAATTCTATACGAGTTTATATCTGGAGCAATAAATTCAGATCAATATTGGTCTTCCTTTCTCACGTTACTAGGCCATTTGATTAGTACAAATATGGTATTAAATTGGCATTATAATGCGTTTGAAGTGGCGTTAGTACGCCTTTTGGTTCGCGTTACAACGCCTTTATTCGCGTTACTACACCTTTTGATTTGCGTTATTACGCCTTTTGTTTCGCGTTATAACGCAAATAAATGCGTTATTACGCCTTTTAATTCGCGTTATTACGCCTTTATTCGCGTTATTACGCCTTTTGATTCGCGTTATAACGCCTTTATTCGCGTTATTACGCCTTTTGATTCGCGTTATAACGCCTTTATTCGCGTTACTTCGCCTTTATTTGCGTTGCTACGTCTTTTTTCGCGTTATTACGCCTTTTGATTTGCGTAATTACGCCTTTTGATTCGCGTTATAACGCCTTTATTCGCGTTATTACGCCTTTTGATTCGCGTAATAACGCCTTTATTCGCGTTATAACGCCTTTGCATTTTTATTTTTTATTTCATTTGACACTATTAGGCTTTCGTAATACAATAAAGAAAACTTAAGTTTTTTTTTCAATGTTATTTGGCCCTTTCACAACATATATCAACATTCATACTTGCGTAATGTCTGACACAATTAATTTATATGGTTAATTATATGATATATTTTGATGATAGTCATTAATAAAAGATGAATGAATGAATTGATTAATAATTATATGAACTGTAGAACTTGTCAGCGTACGGAAGTTGGTTTTTCTATCTTGTATAAGACGCATACGATTAAGTTACTTACAATAAAAATATTGAACAATTTTAACTATATTTTTAAGTCTAAATAAAAACAAGATTAACTATAGACTGTGTTTGGATGATCTATAAGTAATATTGTACACTTATTCTGAACATACAATTTAAATTGCACATGCTTTTAAAATATTAGTAGGATTAGGTGTTCAGAGTTTAGATAACAGATTATCGTAAAATTCTAACATTTCATTATTTTGTCCTACAAAGATCTCTCAATAATAGAAATGGAAACAATTTCAATTTCCATAATAATTAATATAGATTTGCTAAAAAAGTGCTTCTGTTATTTACTAGCACACACACTTGATTTTAATGTTACTTTTTTATGCTACAGCAGTCAAGATGACTTAAAGAAGTCGATTTATTTACAATGAGTAAACTTCACGAAGCAGACGACCCTGTTGTTAGAAAGCGTCACGAGGGTACCACATTAAACCAAAAAGCGGATATACTCGGGCAGAAGACAAAAGCTGGAAACGTTAAAGAAGAAGTTCCGAATACTTCCGGAAACAGTGACGAGAAGATTTCGGACAATGATAATGGTAAAAATCAACAAAATTCAGAGAACCGTTCTGCAAATGCAAGAAATCAGGGTTCCAGTCTGTTTTATATTCCAAAACGATTGATAGTGACGTTTATGTCAGGGTTGGGCTTGTTACTAGTGTACGCGATGCGGACGAATGTGGGGGTGATGGTTGTTATGATTCTAGACGACAGAGCGTTTGAAAAAGTTGGAACAATAGATGCCAAAATAAATGTAAGCTATTTCATTACAATAATTCCACCTTATTTACATTAATCAACAAAATTTATCTATAAAATTTTCTGCTTCTTTTTCTGCTTCTTTTTCTTTTTTTCATTAATATTTGCATAAAACAAAATCTTATCTTTGATTGAATTTACATTTCCCATTTTCTTTCTCTGTCATCAGCTTATTTCCCAGGTGTTCTTGCGAACTATCTGTATTACTTGCGTCCTCATTGTTTGCTTAAACAACCATACCTTATTGCAATTATTGTAAAGTGCCCTTGAATATTTTAATGTTTACCTCTGGAATATTTTAACGTTTATGTAAGAAATAATGTATAATACATTGTATAAAATAAATTAACATCAAGTACAATGTATAAATCATTGACAATGTATAAAGGATTATGTAATCAATGTCAGTGTTTCAGCTTGTCATATAAATCTGTTACATTTGTTTGTAATGTGCTGACTTTACATTACCTCACTGTTTTTGATATTTTTTATAAAGATATAAATAAAACTATAACAAAGATAAAAATAAAAGCCAGATAAAAAGAGAGGAAACTACAATAACAACAACAAAAAAAATAACGACATCCCCGAACAAACAAACAAACAAATAAACAAACAAGAAACTTCTTATGTGTGTTATTACAAAATATGAAATATATTTTCCGTCGTCAGATTCCGCGGGTAAACTGGGATAGCCGGATGGTTGGTTTTCTACACAGTATTTTCTATATGGGATTCCTGATCTCTCAAATTCCTGGCGCTTTCCTAACAACAATATTACCGACACATAAGTAAGTTTATTTTATATCTACCATTTAAAGAGACTCCACTGAGGTTTATTTACATGCCGGGACTTGAAATATATTTACTAGATTTATGCACCAAAAGATGTAGGTCTCGACCAATAACTTGTGTACAAATTTCAGCTCATTCTGTCCAGAGTAATCTTTTTATTGTGAACGCTTTTCAGTCTTACCCGGCTAAAAATCGCATAGAAAAATAATATTTCTTTGTTATCATCGACAGCTTAGCTTCACTTGGTATTTGTAAGATTTTCAAATTAAATGTATTCAGGCATTAGGACCTCTGTGGAGTTCCTTTAATTTAATACTAAAACATACCTCAATATTTATGATAATACCGATCTGAAGACTATAAAAACATTCTATTAAAATAGTTACTGGTTTTGAAATAAATAGATTATCAGTTTATTATTTTTGTAGCGAATGGAAAAATCCTGAGTTTCGTTTAATCTTTAATTAAGTTTCCGTAAATTGTGTATTCTATGGTGCAATTTAAAACAAAACAAAATTGCAAAAAGGATGAAAATATTACAATTACACATTCTATGCCAATATAATACATGTATTATAGCAGCGGAGATACATAGTTTCTAGCAAGCGCATAAGTCTGATCGCATTAACAATCTTAAGTTAATCTTAAATAAGGAAATGTTGTTCACATTACATGATATATATTTACCAAATGATATTTTCCAGGTTATATGGTGGCTGTATATTCACCTCGGCATTATTGAACATTTTGCTACCTATATGTATAGATAATGGGCAGTTTTCTCTCGTTTGTTGTGTTAGATGTGTCCAAGGACTCGCAGAGGTACATATATTATTACCATTTAAAATATACTGTCCTTGATGATTTTTAAAACAGAAATTTATAGTTACATTATCCTATTTAAAGATATACTATGTTCATCTTTGAGTGAAATAATTTTATTGCAGGAATGTATTGAAATCTATGAAATTCTTAGTGAATTTGTCCAATTTGGGCAAAAGAATGTTCAAACTATGTCTATATGTCTAGGAAGCTGTATTTTCTATTATGTGTCAAGTCAAGTTGGTCCTTTCTTTAAAACAAAACAACAACAACAACAACAAACACAAAATTGCCAGTTTTTAAATGATACTTTATCCCTCTATAGATTGTAGAGTTTAAAATATAGCATATCTACTTTGGTTGCAATCGAAACATGTTTATTTTATATTTACAAAGAGACTGTGTGGCAATCATCAGTATTTTCAGTTATCAAATTTGAGCACAGACTATTGTATTTAATTGTCATGATACATTTTATAGTGAAATTATCTTGATATCTGTAATGTTTAGAACGATATACTTTTGTTTTGTTTTTGTTTGGGATACTGTTATGGTCAAATGGCTACTTCCTAGCTTGACTGTTGGAGGAAGGTAGTATTTTTTCAGGAAGGAGCGGGTACCTGAGAAGAACCACCAAACACGATAGAAAACTTACGCAATATTCTTTTGTTATAAAAAGCTATTTTCTCCTGCACTTAAGCTAAAATATTAATATAAACATTAACAATGACGACTTAAAACATGTTTTGTTTTGCAGTTTGCTTGTAATTCTGCTTGTTTTACTGTCCTAATATAATAATAACCTTATTGAATATACATATTGTTATACCAAATGTCCAAGTTTTTTTCGGAGTGATCGCTTCATGACTGAAGTATGGCACTGCAGCATATAAGTTTTTAATTTGTTTCTTTTTTATTGTCTCTCTCAATGACATGAACTGCTACAATTTGTTGGTATATCATTTAATTGTAGGGTTTACTATATCCAGCATGTTACGGTATTCTCCGACATTGGACAGCACCCCGTGAGCGTAGCCGTCAAGTATCTGCTGTGTTGTCATGTAAGGTGATATTTTATATAAATAAACTTAATTGCTCACATGTTATCCTGTTTATTTTCGGTATTGATTTGTTATTGCACTCTTATGACGGTGATATATATGCTCATATCTGGAAAATGTCATATAAATTTGTTATCATGTCATCAAATACTTGATATGTGATAATTTAGGTGTGGTTCGATCAAGCCATTTGTTGGGGTCTGCTGGCATACTTGGAGTTGTGTCTTCGATTGGATACCCGTTTCAAAATATGATCATGAATGTTGTTTGGTTTGTCCAGGCCGTATAGTAATACTAGTATATCAGTGCTAGTTTTTACATAGATTTTCAACTGCATTGTATGGCTCAAAACCTATGGCTGCGACTGATTTTCCATATTCGCGAGTTTTTTATTTTAAAAATGTTACAATGTTAATAGTGCTACTTTCGTGGCGCGTTATGTGTTACGGTTTATATCAAGTATGCTATTTGATTGGCTTCCCTCAAAGGTATTGTAGTGAAGGCTGTTTTTTTTTCAGATATCTATATTGTTTTAATTATTTGAGCTGTGTTATTGATTATTTGTCCTCTGAAATTAGATTGGATGTTAATGAGAGTATATCTTTGCTCTTTTGGTAGGGTTGGCATGTGGGCCTGGAAGCCAGTATTATTTGTTGGCTTTCCCTCTGCGCCGTAGTTGAATAATAAGACGGCGACTTATCGGTTTTATTGTATTGTGCAGATTATTTTGTATGATCGACTTCCGGTAGGAAGTGGATAGTATGGATGTATTTCCATGAGAAGTGTATGATACAGACAGTTATATATAAATTTGTTAAAACAGGCTAAACATCTAAAGAAAATTGAATGAAATTGAATATTAATTCGGTTTAGTCAGTCTTTCACTGATTTTCTTGCCTATGCTTGGAGATAGTGAGTGTGGTGTAATAGGTTTAATAAAATATTTCTAGATTGTTTCTGTTTTCAATGTTCTCAGTCAATTGTAGCATTGCTTTTTGTAATTGTATTATTTTCACGGAGTCATATCTGCTGTGTTTTTTACTTACATTTTAATTTATGATGTATATTTTTCAGGAACGGTGTGTATAGTATGGTACATGTTTTGGTTGTTTCTGATATATGAAAAACCATCCCATCATAAATACATCAGTGAAAACGAGTTTGAATTCATGGAAAAATCCCAGGGAGCTGACGTGATTGATTATGAGGTAGAGTAGATTCTATTTACATTTTTGATAAAGTGGTATTTCCGGTTCTTCTAAAATATAGCTTGTCAACTTCTAGATCTACACAGATATCTACATGTGACTTTTTGTCGGTTGATTTATTATCGGTATAGTTAGCCTTATAGGATCCACTGTCCTCGCTCTTAAGGATCTACTGTCCTCTCTCTCTCTGTAGGACCAACTGTCTTTGCTTTGTAGCTTCAACTGTCCCGCCTCGGCTCTGTAAATATGGATCATACTGTCGCCCGGTCTCATAGGATTACTGTCCTAGCTCTAGTAGATCAACTTCTCCTTGCTCTGTGAGATCAATTCTCTGTCGTCGCATCACCTGTCCTCCCTTCTAATTATTAGATTCACTGTCCTCTGCCTTACTGTATAGTTAACTGGTTTTTCCCTGCTGTGGTTTAGGTTCATTTCTTGTCCTCACTCTGTTATGGATCAACTGATTTCCGCGTCTTTATGATTACGTCTCGTTGAATATTTCCATTCATTATTTCACTACTATGAGGATTAAGTTTAATCCGTAGTCGCAGGTATAGCCGGTGATTATGTGTGCTTTTATTTCTTATTTTCTTAATATGGTTAGGGTAAGAGTTGGGGATTTATTTTACTAGTTAACTTGGGTCATTAACGAATATTTTGTATATGCTTTTGAAGCGGTTAGTAGAGAGAGCGAAACCAACAGTTTGGTATAATGGCGTTTTCCGTATTATTTTGATTTGAACTATTTGGCGTTATTCTTATATATATATAAAGATGGTCCTATTGATTTTGTTACGATATTGCTTTGTGTTATTCAAGGAGAGATTGTTAATGGGTTTCTTAAAATATTGATTTGAATGTTCACATACTGTATATGTTTAATGTTCACTTATGTCATATTATTGTTGTATTGTCTCAATATCTAGATGGTTGCACTGAGTATATTTTTTGATGTTCACATCATCATTTTTATTGATAGTCAACATTTTGTTGATATTGGTTAGAAATTGCAACGGGTTGCCATGGAAAAATATAGGGATAACTTTTCCGTTGAGCCAGTGATTGCACATGATGTTGTGTTGGGCATTTTTCTTAAGGTACTTGGGAATTGGTAATCTTTGTTCTTCATGCTTAACAAACGTAACGGCACTATTATCTGAACGAGTTTGGATTCTACTATAGCTGAAGTAAGAACAGATTCTCAATAATTATTTGCTGAAAATACTTATGAAAAATGATAAATATGCTATTCAAAACTACGTGTGCAAGAGATGCTATTTGTCAGTGACCTAGGACATATGTGGTAATTTCGATGTTTTATGTGGGTAATCTGTGAGTTCTAGTATTCATTAATTTGTAGGTCTTTTCCTATGGTATGTTTAATATTTTTCTGTAGAATTATGATTTGGCTTCTATCGAAAAACATGACTTTTATAAAAGTTTCTATAGAGTTATTTCTATTTTGATTGTCGTTTTACAGTCCTAAGATGACCTATGTTTATTTGTTCCTTTAATTTCTTTCTAGCACTTTTATATTATGCTACATTCGGACTTATGCCACCTTGTGATCTGGACAAAACCATTCATCATAATTAGAGAAAGTTTCAAAATAATAGCTGGCTGAGCAAACCATGTCGGTCAGCAATATTCACTAACCGCGCCGGCTGTCTAAAGGATTTTATACTTTTGCAGCTAAGTTTCTAATTCTATGCTGGTTATATTCGATTAGGATTTTATGTTCTTTTTTAGTGTAATATTTTGTGCATAGGGAAGACAAGGAAAAGAGTGAGGTCCTTGGATGTTATATTATTTTATAGGGAGGGATTTTTTTGTATTCGTTATCATGCGTGGCTGTTTGTGAGCTTGTTGAATTTTTTGATCATAATTGGTTTAACAATTTGACAGGAACAATGGGTTAAAATCTATTTTAACAAATGGTGTTCTATCAGCAGTTATGGGGCTTTGACTGATTAATAAGTATAGTATACATTGTTGTTAATTCCAACTTTTAAAAGGATGTTCAATTAAATCCCATATATAAACATTCTGTACTTGTTAATTGAAATATTGATCTTGGCTGTAATGCGGATTAAA